TCCCCCCATATCCCTGCTGTTGCCGGTGTGCCCTGCCACTATCACAGAGACTACCTGCAGTGAGCTCCACCTCAAAAGAACACCATGAGACAGGACAGAAAAGCTCCTGAGCCTTCTCCTGGGGGTTTTCCTTGAAAATCAGCTTTACTGAGCTCCAGAATATGGGGTGCTCTGGATGTAGCCCACACAGCCAGGACTCTCCCCTGCCTCTGTTGATGGCAAAGGTGTGTGCAGCACAGGAGGCATCTGAATATCCTTTTAGCACATTCCCTGATTCCTTGGGCCATGGCTTCCAGCTTGCCATTGGTGCCACCCACCATACTTGGCTGTCCAGAGGGTGTCCCAGTTGTTGCATGTTTTATGTATTACTGTAATGGCAGATTTGGTAAAAAGTGTCTGAAATGAGTCACTTTGTTGTGCTGGGTTGTCCTGGAAAGGGACCTGGCAGCACCTGGCCTCTCACTGAGAGGAAATAAGGGACAACCAGCTATTCCACAGGCATATTTCCTTCCCTGGAACATTTCCTCCTGGCCTGCAGCCCTTTATCCTGGTTTCTCTGCCCTGCAGGCAGCTGTTTTTATCCCAACCCACAAGTACTGCCTTAGCAGGGCGGAGTTTTTGCCCTCCCTGATTGTCCATCCATGGAGAGATGCTGGGTCTGATCCCAGCCCTGCCCCTGCTCAGAGCAGGGGGGGGTTGCAGTAGATGAACTCCTCATGGTCCCATCCCACCTGCATCACCCTGTGATGCTGGAGGCAGGGGGGAGGGCAGAGATATAAAAAGCATCTCGTGACGGGGGCTGGTGAGTCTGGGGAGACTGAAAGTCTGAATTAGACCCCGCAGCATTCGGGTCAGGAGAGAAATTGAAAGATGATTGCAAAGACCTTCTTTGAAGTTGTCAGCCCCCTCTATGGCTGTAATAAAGCAGGCAAAGGTGGAGATTCATTAACAGCGGGGTGAAAGCTGCTTTTAGAAGTGGTATTTCTGGAGGATGACTCGTTTCATACCTCATCCCAAAATATTTCACTCCCTGCTGGCCCCTCTCTCCGGGAGAGGATATTGCTCGGAAGTGCAGGGAGGAAGCAGGAGGGTTTCCAGCTTTACTGTTCCTTTGGCTGTGGGGTTGCTTCCATGGAAGAGGGTGACTCAGGATGGCCTTTCTCAGGAGGCCACGCTCCAAAGGGAATTAATAATTAACACTGTTGTGCTTAGTCTGCAGCACCTCTTAATTGCAGGAGGTTTGGCTCCTGCCAGCCATGTCAAGCAATTAAAGCAGCTCACCAGGTCATTTTTGTGAGCCTTGAAACAAGGGTGGTTACAGGCAGAAGCTCAGTATAAATAACCAGCTGGAGGGGATTGGTAGTGCAAACCAGCTCAGGTGAATGCAGGCTCTGGCTTTGCCCCCTTTCCATTTGGCTGAGCTCTCTGAGCATCTGAAAAGCCACAGGGAGAGGGAACAAGGACCTGCAGGGATGCCAAGCAGTGCTGCACTCTTGAAGTTGTGTTGAAAAGCTGTGAGCATTGCCAGCACTGGGTATGTAGCTCTCAGCAGTGTTAAGCTGTCCTCTGCAAGCAAAGCTTACATCTCAGATTTCCTCAGACATCGGATATAGAGCCAGGATTGCTTTTTGTTAGGAGAAGGCAGTTGTGGTGTTTTGGCAAGGGAGAATGGGGGAAAATGTGATAAGTAGGGAAATGAGTGATGGCTCTCCAGTTCTGCTGTTTTTCCCAGCCAGACAGCCTCTTTCCCCTCTAACTGTGCCTTCCACCCACTCCCTCCAGAGAGCTTCCCTTTTCAGTTCACTCTTCCACTTGTCCTGCTCAGTCCTGTGGCTCATTCACAGGGCTCCTGTTGCTGCTTTTTCTTCATTTAAAAAACATCTATTTTATTTCTTTTTGCTGAACTAAGAGCAAAAACTGACCAAGATGGTATGCAAGGGAAGGAGGAAAAAATAGCTCAGCTTTTTGCTGTGCTCCTGGGTCACCTGGGATGGATGAGAAGCATCCTGTGACCCCTCAGCATCCAGATATACCTGTGGTTATTGCAGAAGCAGGTTGAAATATCACCTCGGGTGTCATTTTCTCAGACTGGCTGAGAGAAACAGGCTGTTTGCATGGCTGGGGGTAGTTTTCAATGGGAAACATTTATGGTTTTTATCTTTAAAGGTAATTCCCTTTTTAGTTCCAATCACAACACACTTTTGTTTAAGCAAGGTTTTTCTCCCTCTCTGGCCAAAAAATGCATCTGTTAGCAATCTTTTTGGATTTTAAAGCAAAGCTTTTCAAACAATGACCAGCTGACTAGGAAAGGCATCTGGTCATTCTATATTTGCTTATGGGGAGCATAACTTTTAAGCCCTGGGAAAAGCACACGAGGGCACGTGTGTATTTGCAGAGGAGAGGGTATAGGAAGTGTTATGATGTGGAAAACTGGAGTTGTCTGGGATGGGACAGTTTGGACCCTGTGAGATCCCAGCCTGGGGAGAACCTGATGAAATTACAGCCCTTCACAGCATCACTCATGGAGAAATGGCCTTAGTTGCCTCATTTAGGATTTGTTGGGGGATACCTGGGGGAGCCAAGTGGCTGGAAGGATGAGGAAGACCTAGAGACTATGATAGGCCAAAACTTTTGCCAGCAAAGGCTCAGCCATGTTGGCAGAGCTGACCTGGATTTAAACCTCCTGTGCAGGCTGCAGACCTGTCTGCTTTAAAACCCACCTGCACCACTGTCTGCTTCGTTTTTGACCTTGCGAAGAAGCATCCAGGTGGATCATCCATGGCAGAAAGAGAGGGGGGTGTCCAGGACGTGGTGGGCTGCCAGCTGCCACCAGTTTTCCCTTGCTCTGCTGCTAAGGAGCAGCAAGGAGGGGTGGGGAACACTGTGCAAAAGAAAATGCAATCAGAAAGATGCATACAAATGAAGGGGGTGGCTTCTGTTTTTGCAGCAAGTGCCAACTGAATAGGGATTATTTTTAATCCCTGGCTGTGTCTCTCCTGGTGTGAAGTTCTCCTAGGGCAGACCAGCCTTGCAGGTGGTGCCAAGAGGGAAGTG